TAAACATTTGTTAACATAAATATCTAAAAAACGTCTCTAGAAGACAATATTCTATACATTTCTCTGTTTTTTTTTTATACTGACGATAGATTTGCAGGCCGACGTCTCCCCCAAACCTATATCACATATATTACAAAAATAATTGATAAAATCATACTAATAGGTATTTCTTCATCTCACTATCTCCTAATATTAAGTATAAAACACGTGAAGAACTCATATACAACGCAGCAATTTGTGAACAGTGAAACGTGATAGTTTTTTTTACTTTAAAATCTTTTTTTTTTTTCCTTAGAATCAACAATTGAAATTAATTGATAATGAAATTAATCATAACAAGAAATATTGAGAAATTTTGAGAGCTAATAATAAAGGATTCCCAACATTAACAATAAACAGATACGCCCCCTTGTGACAACGGGAAACACCATACGAAAAATTATATGAAAATATAAATAACAATACTGAAAAAATAATAATAATAAAAAAATAATAAATGTGGTTGTAGAAGCAATAATACTAATAATACTAATAATACTAATACTAATAATAATAATAATAATGATAATAATAATGATAATAATAATAATAATAATAATAATAACGTAAAAAATATTATTGTTATCATCATTACTATTACTATTATCATTATTATTATTATCACAAAGGACAATAATAATAACAACAGCAATAATAATACAAAACAATGACAACAATAATATTCATTAACAATAATATTAATAATAATAACAATAAATAATAATAATAATAATAATAATAATAATAATAACAAAAATAATAAGAATGACAACAGTAATAACAAAAAAAAATAATAATAATCAAAACAATAATAATAATAATAATAATACCAACAACAACAAAAAAAATATTAACAATGATAATGCTGATATTAACAAAATAATAACAATGCTAAATCTTTCTCATCTCTTTAAGCCAACGTCATACCAAGGCTGCAACTAGACTCTGTGGAATGCCAAAAAGTAATTGATATCAAAGACAAGTTTTATTGAATACATAATCAACTAGCTGCTGAAGGAGGAAAGGGGGGGGGGGAGGGAGGGAGGGAGGGAGGGAGGGAGGGAGGGAGGGAGGGGGGAGGAGGGAGGGAGGTCGAGAGGGGAGAGGTAGAAAGGGGGATGTTGAGGATAGGAGCAAGGGTTGTGGGTGAGGGTGTGAGGTGGGGGGTGGGGTTGGGGAATGAGGTGGAGGGTGAGGTTGAGAGGTGGGGGGTTGGGGGTGGAGAATATGATGGGGGTGGTGGGGGATTGTGAGGTGAGGGGTGGGATTGGAGAATGAGGTGGGGGGGATTGTGAGGTGGGGTTGAGGGAGACTATGAGAGTGGGGTTGTGGGGGGGGGCAATTATGAGAGTGAGGTTGGGGGGAGGGGGATTATGAGAGTGGGGGTGGGCTGGAGGATGAGGTTGGGGAGGAAGAAAGAGGGAAGGAATAGAGAGAAGAGCCGTTAGGGTCAGGAGAACGAAGAGATAAAGAGGGGGGGGGTGAAAGTAAGGTAGGAAGGGGGGCGTGGGGTTGAAGGTAAGGTAGGAAGGGGAGGGGGGTTGAAAGTAAGGTTGGGGGAGGGGGGAGGATGAGGGAGGGGAATGAGGGGAAGTGGGCGAGGTGAAGGGATCAGGAAAGGGGAGAGCTAATGGGTCATGGGACGTTATGAGGGGATAATGAGGGAAGAGGAAGAGAGGCCGTTTGAGGGGACTCATGAGGGACTGCGAGGGGGAACATAAATAAATTTCTCCAGTGGGGGGGGGGAAAAAAATCCCACCCCCCAAAACAGGACACGAAAGACGAAACGAGGTCGAAGGAAAACGAGAAGGAAAGGTAAAAAAAAGGGGGGGGGAATATAATCACTTTATAAAACTTATTCTCCTCTCGAACGCCCAACCTTTCTTCAAGAGGACGAAAAAAAGCCAACAGACAACACATAAATCCGCCTAGAGTGATGAGATCCCATCTATGGACTACTTGACTCGTGGTTCTGGGTAACCAAACACACATGCGTATTTATAATCACGTATTTCTCCCACCTCTACCTACCGAAGCAAAAGGAGGACTATATCACAGGTTGAAAGGTTACACGAGCGTCTCCAGATAGTGTTTTACCGTATAACTAACACCTAATACTTGTGCAGCTAGAAGTTTTAACTACAGAAATGTCAGCTTTCATCCTTGCAGTTTTGGTGTCTAATGAACACATTTCCCATGGGTGGTGAAGTCGTTAAATTAGCCTATTTCTTCTCAATGTGTTCATAGTCTTGGTGTTGAACAGGATTGCCAACATATCCTCCACTCGTGCTGAACAGTGGTACCAACATAGAACCTACAACTATCTCATGCATTCCAGGGATCTCAATATCATTATTCATTTGGTGCTTTTGGCAACAGTTACGTTTCTCCAGTGGATAAGATCTAACTTTGAAATTAAAAAATGTATCAAAGAGAGAAATAATTATACATTTGGGCTACATTTGATTTTTTCTTCTTCTTTTTTTTTTTGCTTGTGGGAAGTATGAGAGGTTCCCATAAGAATGTGTGTTTTTGCATACATACATATGCACATGTGTATGTAATGTATATATGAATGTATCTGTATGGGCTTCCCAGTGGGCTATGGCTCTAATTGTGCTTTCATCTTCCTACTAGACAGAGCTCGAAAGCCACACTGGAATGCTAAGTTCGAAGAAAAATACAAACGAAAAATGTACCTCAAAAAAAAAGAAGAAAAAAAGAAAAAGAAAAAAAAAATCACAGAAGATTAAAACAATTTCTGTCCAGTCAAGATTTTATCCGACGAACAGCTGCAGCATCGTTTCCCTGGCATCGGGGTTGGTCTTTGATAAGCTCGTTTCGTGGCATTCAGTAACTCAGGCATCGGGCATTGTGTCGGTGGGGACAACCTGGAGAATCAGCTGGAAGAAGGTCGTCAGGTGACCTGTGTGGGAAGGGAAGGATATTATAATCGGTGCTTGTAGTAGCAATAGTAGTAGTTGTTGTAGTATTGTTGTAATAGAGGTAGTTGTACCATGGGAATAGCAGCAGTAGCAGTAGTAGTAATAATAGTAGTAGTAGTAGTAGGACTTGTGATATGGTGGCAGCGGTGGTATTATAATTATTAAAGTCCTCACCATCATCATATTTCAGTATCTCATTTACCACTACCATCATCATCATCTGAGAACATCACTACTGTTATCAGCAGCAGCATTTTATCTCGATCAATATCATTATTCCTGTTATTACCTTTACTACTGCTACCAACACTGACTCTGCTTTAAATACTACAGCATAAGTACTAATACTACAAGTCATATATACTGTTTTTATATCATTAATTTCTATTATCATCACATATTTCCTACATATTTCCATTCTCAACTTCCCATATATTATTTCGCAACTGGACTTAAAACTCTCTATTATTTCAACCATGATAAAACAAGGGTTAACAGATTAACAGATCAATAATAATAATAAGAAGAAGAAGAAAAAGAAGAAGAAGAACAGTAATAACAATAATAATAACGATAATAACAATAACAACAACAATAATAATAATAAGCCCGTTTACCCACCCATTCCTGGGACGCTCTTCTTGAAGTAGACGAAGGGGAAGTAGAAGACGAGGCCAGCGAGAATGAAGAGGCTGGCATAAAGGTACTCAATCTGTGGGGAGTCGATGATGGGGCCGACGACGAGGTAAATGGAGATGACGAGGACGATGACCGGGATGATGATGGGGACCTGTTAGGGGGGAGGAGAGGCGAGAAGGGGCGTTAGGGATTGATTTCAAAGAGATTGTGGCGGTGATTTTTGTCTAACGGGTTTATGGTTCATAATGGTCTGTATAATTATAATACTGATTGTCATGATGATATAATGACTATAATATTTTGTATAATAATATAAAGGCCAAAGTAATAATCTCATCAAATAATTCAGTCATTAACAGAATGTTTGATGATTAAAAAAAAAACATAATGATTTGATCTAATAATATGATAATTATAATAAGAGGGAGACAGAGGGAAGGACGTGGAAGGAGGGAAAAAAGGAGAGTGAGAAAGAGAGAATGAGGGAGGGGAAGGAAGAATGAGGGAAAGAGAATCATAAGATAGAGGCGGGTTGTTTGGAAGGAGAGGAGGGGAAGGAGGTGGAAGGAAGGAGAAAAAGAGGAGAGGGGAAAGGTCCAAGGAAGAGACAAGGAGAAGGAGGATGGAAAGAAGGAGAAAAAGGAAGGTAAGTTCGACGAAGAAAAGGAGTGAGGAGGGGAGGGACTGGGGAGGGAAAAGGGAGAAGGAGAGGAGGAGGATAGATAAAGAGAGGGAGAAAAAATAAGAGAGGGGTGATAGGAGAAAGAAAAGAGAGAGAGTAACATAGGAAGAGAGCTAAGGATGTAAGGGGAGAAGGAGGAAAGTAGAAAAGGAGGGAAGCGAGAGAGAGGGGGAGGGAGGGAGAACGAGAGAGAGAGAGAGAGAGAGAGAGAGAGAGAGAGAGAGAGAGAGAGAGAGAGAGAGAGAGAGAGAGAGAGAGAGAGGGAGGTAGAACGAGAGAGAGAGAGAGAGAGAGAGAGAGAGAGAGAGAGAGAGAGAGAGAGAGAGAGAGAGAGAGAGAGAGAGAGAGAGAGAGAGAGAGAGACAGAGAGACAAAGAATAAAAATAAGCAACAAACAAAACAAAAAACAAAAAATGACCCCAACCGAAAGCTAATTTTACGACGAACCTAAACAACCCATAAAAGAAAAAAACACACAACAACAGCAACAAAACCCATCCTCCCCCCCTCCCCCCTCTCCCCTCTTTACCCCCCCCCCCACTGACCTTATACGGCCTGGGCACGTCCTTCATGGTGCGCCGCATGATGATGAGGGCCAACATAGCGCCCCCGTAGAAGATCCAGGCGGTGAAGCTGAAGAAATCGATGAGGGAACCAATGTCGGAGGGGATCACCATCATCAGCGCGATGAAGGC